CTCAAGAATCACTTGCGGGACAAGGCACAAGACGATCGAGCACAGCTCGAAAATGATGTCGGCCGTTTCTTTGCTTCGCAATCGCCAGAGTTCTGGGCAAAGGGCATAGAGCAGTTACCCGTGCATTGGGAACATGTCATAGACAACAATGGTCATTCCATTGTAGACTGAAATAGCATTTCAATAAAGTTATGAAATTTTGAAAAATTTGCACAGAGTGTTGCAATACTTTCTTTCCAACCCAATAGAAACCAGTTTAATTCTTTCATTGCAGCTGTCACATTTTTGTACCCAAAGTGATAATAGAGCTTTTGACATCACCACAACAAAAAAATTGAACTCCTGGACAGGAAGAAAAGACTTATCTTGGAAGAGATTCAACCCTGTTCTGATTTGCAGTGACTTGTAATTACAATCCAAACAAAGTAGAGCAGCAAGAAAATCAAGAATAGGGTTTGAAGCATCTCCATGATTACCTCAATTTGTCTTCAGAGGAGGAAAGGGATATAACTACATGGATTTTTGTATTGTTTTTTGTAACTCACAGAATCCTGGTTTTCTCCATCCAAACAAATCAACTTCACAACTGATTTCAAGGTCATTGTTGCAATCAGTACCTACAAAAATTAGCAAGTGTTAGGAACCATGAAAGAGGAAAGGTACATCAAAACATGTACCTCGTATAAAAAGCATACCTGACTGGGATTTTCACTCTGATCAATGCAATCCAAGACAATGGTCCATGTCTGCCAATTTCTCAATTCGCCAACATCGGGAATGAGATAAGGTACCAGCATTGAAGGATTCTATAAAGAAATTCAAGAAAACATCAGCAAATGGATAATTAATGCATGATGTCATATGCAAAGGAATTACTATGAATCCATAAATGGAAGTAATGAATTACATGAGTGAAAAAATGTATGCAAGTCTGAATGAGGAAATGAATAAACCATGCAATTCACCATACACACATCCTAAGTCTCACTGCTTGCTTAGCTAAGTTGGGAAGCTGGTTGCTAGGTCTAGGAAGTGATATGGTGTGCTTTCACATTTTGCTCATTTGTGTTGCCACTAGTCACCATGATTATCCTTGACAATGAAGATAATGCTCTAATTGAAAGTCCTATTTCAGCAAAAAAATATCTTTGGAGCAAAAGACAAGAGAAAGATAACCCAAGAGTTACAAAATGCAATTCAACATTAATGATGCAATCTCTGGGTATCTCAGCTACTACTGCATGACAATGCCCATGTGCATTGATTTTTCCTGGTTCAAGCATTCCTTGCCATTCCATGACAGAGTTATCACATCCACCATACTCGCTGGACCTACAGGGTGGGCCATGAAATGATGATGGTTTTTCATTTGGGATATGTTGACTACCAGTACAGACAGCTGCATAACCTGTGACTGAGAGCTGCAATAGGACCTGGAAAAACTGTCAAGTGTATGTTTGGACATGAAGGTTAAGGAACATTTGACAATGCAACAAAAGAATAAAATTATGCTGATGCACGCAAAGGTGAAAAGCATGACTGTTTCACAAAGACACTTTAAAGCTTTTCCAGTAACAAGATAGGCTCCAAAGCAGGAACACTATCCTGCACCTTCATTATCAATTTGAACAAGAGGGGACTATGCAAGGACCAAAATGATAATAAAGGTGCAGGATGGTGTTCCTGTTTGGAGCCCATCTTTTCCTCGAAAAGCTTTGAAGCATCATTGCAAAACAATCACACTCTTCATCTTTGCATACATCAGCACAATTTTAATCTTTTGTACATGTTTCTAGTAACTTTTTGGAACAACCTTGCAGAACTACTACAAATCCACATATCCCAGTTAATTCTTTATGCAGCCAAGGTCCAATGACATTGCTAACCTTTTTGAGCTCTTCCCATAGAATTTTTAAATAACATTTTTATTTGCATCAGATTCCATCACAAGCTTAGATTTAGTCATTTAACCATTAGAGTAGTAGATATCCATGGCTGTTTATAGCTCTCTCAGCTCTATTTCTCTTTATGTCGTATGCTACATATCTTCCAGCTGAGGCGCCAGGAAAGTGTAGTAGAAAAAAGAGTAGTCCCTCCCCAAAGGGCAAATTGAGGCTTTTCAGTAGAAGACACTTTTTAAATTTTGCTAACAGTGATGTCTTAATTTTTGCTGTTTCTTTTGATGAATAGTCTAGATTCTTAATGGAATAGGATTTGGGATATCAGTAGTTCAGTGCCTGCACGTATGAGCTACAATCTCAACTTACTCTGGTTGAAGTATTGATTTCACTTCAATGGCTCCTGTTGGGGCACAATAGGTCACTCTATTTGGGCACAATGGGTCATAACTTGGTGCACAAAATGTTTCCTGATAGTGGCCAATACAGATCAGGATTTCCTTTGCAGTCTTTTTTCAATCTAATAAAGCACAAATAGAAGCGGAAGAGACTGAAGGGTTCAAAATCAGTAGATGTGACACTCTTGGACATGAAATGTATCATATATTATTTTCCTATTAAAGGTTCCTAATTATTTAGACAACTTTGGTGGAGTGCATCAGTATTCAAGAGCTTCTCCTGTGAGGCAAAGACTTCTTTATGTGATGACTTTGGGTCAACTGAAGTTCATTTCAGTGACGATTATGGGGATGACCCATCATACCCTGGACACTGACCCATGGTGCCCCATTTTAAAATATGACTTTATCGCACAACACTTGTAGGTTGATTAATTTGAAGCATGAAATTGTGCAGGTGCTTTGAGTATTTACATGCAGGGCCTTTCATTGCTTCAGAGGAATAAAAATGCCTAAGTTGCAGGCTCACAATAAAAGTGACTCATGGTGCCCCACCCTACCCTATTCATTGACATGCTTTATTATCAGCAAAAATATATCAGATACACATGCATGCATGTATGTGCACAAACACCCATTAGATTTTACCATACTTGATAATAACACAGAGGAAATAGAGCATCTAATTTTGGGTAGCAAACTGTAAATTGGAGTGGAATTCTTACTCTTACCAGCCTGTATTTGTTGAAGACTGCTATCAATCTCAAAAGGATTTGCAAGTCTCCAGGAGTACCCTTTGTCCAGTCACGAAGAAAGGAGACAAGAATTGCTGCAACAGCTTCAACCACTTCAGTACATTCATGCATTGTCAGTTGAAAGATATTGTCCAGATCTATTTCTGACAAGTTTTTATGATCTCTCCTGCAAAGGCAAACAGAATTAGGTTTCAAAATTGCTGTGTCCTTGCTTTCAGCTTAACCATTTGGTCAAAAATTATTTTCTGCCTATTTTTCTGTTCTTCATTGCATAAAACAATACACTGCCTCAACCATAATGCAAATCAAAACCATTTCCACATTTTTTTCATGACTATATCAGCTATTATCAAATGATTGATAAGGTGTCTGGTTCTTTAATGACTATTCAAAATTCTATAAGACTGATTAATGAATGCATCTAAGGCAGCATAATGTCAGGCAGGCACTTAATTGTGATCTAATGACATGAATGTATGAACTTAAAACCTGCTAACTCTTCTACTTTGCCCCAGTCTTCCATATATAGATTAAGGCTGTGGCTCAAGTAGAATGGAAAAAAAGGGATAGTTTGTAAAGTGCTTGTAAAATATACCTTGTCAAGCAGACCAAAAAAAAGAAGGCAAGATTTTAAAGTGTACTTTACACTCATGCTTGATATGCCATGGAATCACCCATGGAATAAATCTTAACTGGGAAGGATCTGCATTGCAGAACATTGACCTGTCAATAGGTGCAAAAAGACAGGAACATCTCACCTATAGCTTGCATGGAGAACATGAAGACTCTTCACTGCAACTGGTAGTGGGCACTTATAGCTCAGGTACAAGAGTGACACTTTTGCAGAAGCATGGTAACTCTTGAATAATGCCCATAAATGGTCATCAGTGTAGAACTCTTCCAACACCTGTCATAAAATCATTTGAATCCCTTCCCAAAACTTTCTTCATGAATCTGGCCAAGGAGGCATTGCCCATTAAAAGATGACAAGTTACAGCTATTACACAGCCAAAGCTTTAGTTTGACGTTTCCAGGACACATACACATACGGCTTTTCCTGAGCATAACACAAAAGAATCCTAAAATAATTATTAGGCTGCAAGACTCAGTCCAGGACATCAAGAAAATTTTTTTCAATTATGATAACTTGTGCTTAAGTTGAGAGTTTATATAAACTAAGATAGTCCTGCAGCTCATAAAAATAGAAGTTTTCAAAGGGGCACATCCTTCGACTCCCTAGTTACTGGCTAACTAGTCATATACTAATTAGTTAGCTTGTTTAATTTTTTTGCCTTGTCCATAAAAACATCTAACCTCATGGTTACAACTTCAGGTCTTCATTAATTGTGATCCACCTTTCTCTCTCATTTCACCTCATCCAGACAATTCTAAAAAATATATATATCCATAGACCTACTGTCCTTTTGACCAATGTGAGGATTCTTATTTGATTATATGAGCCATTTTTATCTCCACTTATCCAAAAGCTCTAAATTCCACTGAGCTCTTGCCCTGTCTTCCTACTCTTTCATAGAAAAACTTATATTTTGTGTCATTGGCAATTTCATTAAGATGAAGTTTTAGATCTAACTCTTTAATGCAAAAAACTAAAAATAGAAGTGGTCTCAAGACAAAGCCCTGCAAGAATCTCTGACCCAAACATCCACCAACATTATCCAATTTAGAATTGAAGGGATCTCTGGAAAAAAGCTAATATACAAAAGGCACAAGATTTTGCAGAATATTTCAAAGTTTTACTTGTCTCTTCCCTACCATCTTGATGTTAACATCTAAAATCAGATTTACTTTTCACTCATCCAATATACAGGAAGGCTATCACATATACTGGCCCCACCATCTAACTTCAATTTTTTGTTGTATTTTTGCACCAACAACTTGCCTTCAGTCCAATTATTGGCAAGTCTTTCTTGCTATGATCATGAATGAAGATCCGAATTGCAAGGAAAATCATCTTGGTGGTGAAGATCCTTGAAAACAGATGGGGGAAGGCTTTCATGATACTCAGAGCAGTCTCCATGCATAAAGCACGAATTACTGAGACACTGTCCCTAGAAGCAAAATAAAAAATTAATTCTTTAACTTCAAAAAAACTTTAAAAAGCAGATATGACACATCATGCCATGTCCTCAAATACCTTGATATTCAATTTGACACATTTTCTACTAACAGCTTTAAAGCTATGAATTACTGTATCATCTAAGCCACATCAAATATACATATTAGTCTGTCAGTAATCTTTTGAACTGATGAGTTTACTCAAGGCCATTAGTCTGTATGCTCATTAATTAATACACAAACAATATGCATGTAACTTTTCCCAGGACCAACATATAATACAAAATATTGCACTTGATGAATTTCATTCTACAGAATAACATCTGAATTAAATAGAGAATTTTATTATTGGTTCAATGGGACTTTTGCTAGGAATAATCCTGATGGTCCATATTACCAGGAGATCCAGATTACCAACATTTGAATTGATTAGAGTTGACTGTACCACCTTTGTCTATGCATAAGAATGAGCATTTCTTGCATATGCTAGAAACTAATGGTGTGAACTTCTGAAGTCAAAGATATTCCTGAAAGGACAAACTTCAAACTCAGCCATATGAGCTCTATTGCACTCACCGCACACGACGACTCCATATCCTGGTAGCTGTCCTTTTCAGCAAAACTTGAAGCTCCATTTGTGCATCTTCACACTCAGGATTCTGCTTCCATTTTCTAGATAGCACCTTCTCTAAAAGCTTCGTCATGCTCTCCAACATCTTCATCCCTTTAAAAAGGGTGCCAGGCAAGACAGGGAAAAAATATTTTCAAATTATTATTACATTTAAAATTTAATGTGCACAGTATGTAAAAATAGACTTTGAAAGCTCCCTATTATTTAAAAAAAAAATTGCATTGCTTCCTAGTGATGCTTTTCAATACTCTGCTGCTAATACTTTGCTCAAAGTTGTCTAATAACATCAGTATTAAGAGCAGCAGTTCCAAACTTTTTTTGACAAGAGTGATCCATGTTTTGCTTCATAAAAACTCTACAACCCATCAAGAAAGTTACCTGCCAACAGAAAAGACAGGGGAAACACATAGTATGACACACCTAAAAAATGTTTCCTGTGCATTTTCAGCTATGCAAAGCCAAGCCCCACATTTACTCAGGAGTTAGTCACAACCCAGGGGGTGGGAACTTGCTTTAGAGGAATGTTACATGACCATAACTTTTTAGCTGTCTGTTATAAGGAATGAGGATCTTATCCACACCTTGATCCACCCTCTGAGAATCATAGAGAAACAGCAATTTCAGAAGTGAAACTTACTTCTCCAAGTATAAGTCATGGTTGGCATAGGGTGACCACCTTTCCATGGGCATGTTCCAGAAAATTTAAAACAGGTGGTCATCCCAGATAGGGATGTAATGGAACTCATAGAAGACAGGAGAATGTGCTAAGTACAAGGGACTGAGGACTACCTCCTGTAAAGGTACATCTACAGCCTATACATATGGTGTTAAAAATATAGTGTCATCTCTTTTACATGGAGAAATGAAGTAGCACTACCTTTCATGTGGACTCTGATCAATGTTATCAAGTTATGGTTGGAAGAGGCACAATCAGATTCATTGAACCTTTCCCAACAGTCCATATATAATCACAGTCAATGGGATTCAGATCAAGCTTCACCCAACCCACATCTTTAGAAAGCATTGACCTCAGAACTATGGATACTCCTTGGAAAGTTGGCTGATCTCTGAACACAACATAAGTATGCCGTAATCCATGGGAGGGGGGGTTGAAAAGTTCCCAGACCTTCACAAATATCACATACAACCAGTGTAGGAAAAATGTATATATTTCCCACAAAACCTGAGGCAACTAATTGGAATTTCCCAGGAAAGATATGCAAGCGGACTAAGTGGGCCACCCACCTGCGCATCTCCATTCCCGCTAACCTCATTCACAGGTTCGCAATGGTTTTCCTAGCCTGCATACAACTGAACTTTGAAATTTTATTCCACCTACACCTGTGAAACATAATCACACTTAATCAATGCACAATATTGTTGCTCCACAAGTTTCCTCATTGCAGTAGAGAACGGATCTTCAGAAGTAATTTTTACCCACTAGCATACAGCTGATAGTTGGGCAGTTCCTGATCCATACCTCTTTCCAAGCAATAAATGTAAATTTCTGGGAAAAGCTAATAGTCAGATGGGGCAATCCTTGAAATATTTTGGTGGGTGAAGCAGAATTCCTAGCCAAGGTCAATGACAGCCCAGATGGACACTTGGACATGAGATGAGATAGGGCTGCTGCTTAGGATATGAGGTCACCCCTACTATAAAATATGGCATACTTGATCTTGTTTTACAATATGGCACTGCAATGGAAACTAATATTCATGAACACACACAAGCATATCTTCACTCAACTTATGCACTTCTAAAGAATGCAATTGGTTGATCTGTGAGGTGGTACTAATATCTATGAATTCAGTTTCAGGCAACATATTACAAAATAAGTCAACAAAGGAGTCAAATCATCCATCAACTTACCAAAGAAGGTGGCAGTGTGTCTGACATTCCGCAGCTTGGACTGTGACATTTCTGACAAAATCCTAAGAACTGTTGATAAAATGAGACCATCTTGGAGAAGGATTGAGGTCTCTGTGCAGAGGATGAGATTATGAATGAAAGCATTCAGAGCAATATCAGGTCTCTTGCCTCTGGACATCTTCTTCATCAATGGATAATTCTCATGAACTTCCTAGAATAAAAAGGCAAAAAAAGCCTTTGGTTTAGCTGTAGAATACATTTTCGATTTTTCTACTTTAAAAATAAATGCTGGTACCAAGCAATATACAGGGTGGATCAAAAAAAACCGGTCCTCTACTTTGAAACCTTATATCTCGGTCCCAAATTGAGCTAGAATAATTTAACAAAAATGAAATGAAAGTTCATTTAATTCGCTTTCCAATGATATCAGTTGCAATTGAGTTCCGCCGAAAAACACGGGAGATAAATTGATTTGAAAAAAACTTTCCGCGGAAAAAAGTTGAAAATCACGCTTTTTGGCTCAATATGGCCACCTTTCTGCCGAATATCTGCCTTCAATCTCCCTTTCCACTTGAGGATGGCATTGCCATTTGAGCCCTGTGAAAGTTCGGATTCGTTCCTTCAGTTCAGCGACACACCGGATTTTTTGCCCGCGATACACTTTCTCTTCCAACACGGACCACACAAAATAATCGACTGGGTTTAAGTCAGGGCTATTGGGCGGCCAATTTTCAGGTCCGATGAAATCAGGACAGTTTTCACGAAGCCACTGAATTGTTGCCAGAGCGGTATGGGGTAAAAGAGAAAGTGTATCGCGGGCAAAAAATCCGGTGTGTCGCTGAACTGAAGGAACGAATCCGAACTTTCACAGGGCTCAATTGCCACTGCCATCCTCAAGTGGAAAGGGAGATTGAAGGCAGTTATTCGGCAGAAAGGTGGCCATATTGAGCCAAAAAGCGTGATTTTCAACTTTTTTCAGCGGAAAGTTTTTTTCAAATCAATTTATCTCCCGTGTTTTTCGGCGGAACTCAATTGCAACTGATATCATTGGAAAGCGAATTAAATGAACTTTCATTCATTTTTGTTAAATTATTCTAGCTCAATTTGGGACCGAGATATAAGGTTTCAAAGTAGAGGACCGGTTTTTTTTGACCCACCCTGTATGTTCATCATCACAAGAGACTGATGCCCTCCTATTTCCAAAGGATAGTGTCACATGAATAGACATTTCGTTTTAGTTTATTTGAGCTTTTTGGTCATAAGTAGGTACTAACATCATACTGGGACAGAAGTAATAAAATCTCCCAGGGAATAATAAAGACCTTTGCCTAGTTTCAGGTTTTTTCCTTAAACAGGGAAAGAGATTTGCCATTGGTGCCTCTGAATCCAATATTGGCAGTAGCATCTTGAGAAACTTCAACATGTAGGTCACAGGGTCTGCTTTAGATTTTCCTACCTTCTGAACAATTAAAATTGTTGAAGGTACACTTATCAAGATTACCATGATATGCAACAGCTGTACAATATGTCTGGAATGTCTTAAAAATTGGAGTATCTGCCACACTGATAAGAAATTAACTCTCCCCAATTTATTTCAACTATATATTCTGCCCATAGGAACTTAAATATTCCAGTAGTACAATGAACAAAGCCCATGTTGTAGACATGGAATACATAGCATTTCACCAAATGCAAAGGCAATTCTTGACATGGATGGGAATTATGTGTTTATACACAAAATTTCCATTGAACCCAGAGGCAGAATACAGATAGTGCACATGCACTGGAGTTAGCATATATATGGTGTCTTTTTTTCCTTATCTCAATTTCTGAAGTCCTACATAGACTTTACACAGTGAATAAATGTCTGATTATAAGAGACTTTCCATAGAGTTGATATTTTGTTTTATACTAGTTTCAAGTGGTTTCCTGTCAGTACTAGAGGCAACAAAGTTGAATTTTAAATCTCTGCCGATGAAGAAACCCTGGAGAAGCTAATGAAAAATAAATATATCCATAGTTTTTAATGACAACTCCTCTGGAGTTGAGTGATATCAAATTTTTTTTGCAGGTATTCCATCTCTCTCTTGATGAAGGATGTAATACCACATAGCATGCTCTTCTGTCATGCTGTCAGCAATACAATTATACAATTACATCCTGGATGCATAGATCAGGAGGGGCTTCGGCATAGTTTGCATGGGATCTCCCAAATACTTAATCAACACCTTATCAGATATAGAGCAATTCATTCTGCAATTCAGAAGGAATCTTTGCAGGATAGGTATTCAAAGTGTAAATATCGTGTGGATCTCCATAGTCCCAAAGTGACTAATAATGCAAAAAGTTAAAAGTCCGTTGGGTAGAGTCAAGCATCCAGTTATGGTCACTTTGTCAAGTTAGCTGCCATCCCCTGCTACTGAAACAAGACAGATTCAAAATGTGCTCCATGGTTCTCATCTAGGTTTATTTCATTTCCTAGCATTTCAAATTCATATCTTCAAGTAGCTTCTCTTTGGGGGAAAATATTAAAAGTTTGATTGCTACCACAATATTCCCATCTCTCTAAAGCAGAAAGTTAAGCAGCACCTGAGCAATGATTAAGGATTTTGAATTATAAAATTAATTTGCAAAGGACTTTTTTAGTAAGATATTGATCACAATGGTCTAAATGATACTATATCAAATTATCATCCTTCTATATTGTTGACACTTTATACAATATGGGATGGCCACAGACAGATCCAATATTTTGGCCATCTCCCTTTTATGGCCACTTAATATATTTTACTTGGATATTCTTCCAGGTGACTATTCATGATAATTATAGTCATAGATATAGAATCAGTACATTTTGTACTGGAAGCTTTAATGGATAGGACAAGCCTGGCAACAAAAGAATATGGATTTCCTGTGACTTATACAAGAAACCATATCACTTCTAATGTGTGCCTCAGAAGCATCACCTCTTACTAGGGTTAGAGCCCCCTGACATCCACTAAGAGGAATACAATTACCTTTGTCCTCAATTTTATGCTGACCAAACTGATTCATTATAGCCTTGGTCCTATACTTTGTCCATTTGGTCCACACATGTTGCTTTTCTAATTTGTGTATGAGAAATGAATGTTATACCTTTAAATACATAATTTATTTTAAGGATAAGTGGAACTGTGGGTGGCCAAAGCAGATGATTTTACCAAAGTTAATATTTAAAAAGTTTGTTTAGCAAGAAAATGTTTCTTCCCAAACTTTGACTAGTTGATATCATTCATCATTAATTTAAGTCTCTTTAAAAGCTGAAACTACATATAAGATGCAAAGGCTTGAGATAAAATTAAATTATGAAATGGAGAATCGCCTTAAAGTGGCTAAAGGTGGGGCCTTAACCCTATGTCTGTCTCACATTAAGGCATACTTATGTTGCATTTGATGGCAGCATTCATATCCCCAAAACTCATCATTACTCTCCCCTCAATAACAAGGAAAATAAGATGAAAAACATCAAGAAGTAGTGAATCCTCGAAGATGGAAAAAACTGGTTCTTTGAATCCTTTTACTGGTTCTTTGCATAATAATGGAAATTTCTGCATTCAGACTGAATGCCAAGATTTTTCAGGGCATATCAATGGGTCTTAACCTCCTCAGACCTAAGGATAATAAATGCTACAGATTTGGCATGAATGCATGCTGCTAGGGTCAGAAGAGGTTAATGGAACATTGCACCTTAGATATAAAACTTAACCCTTTTTTTAACTCATAGGTCCTGCATTTTTTTCACTTATTTTGTAGGACTATACAAGATTGCATGACCTTGAGGCCTAGCAAGACTTCTGAGTCTCTGTGGCCTTTTTTAGCATTGTATTTTTGTGGTCAATGACATCTCATTATGGATGGTTGAATGATGGAAACATCATTACATCATTTACATCATTCAAATTTTTCAATTTGGGTCTTCAAGACTTAACACCATAAATGGATCCCCACCCTATTCCAAGAGCCTCTGTGTCTTCCTCCACTCCTGAGGAATCTGAATGGTTGCTACTCGTTCTCAGTTCCTCTCATGTAGTTCCAGGCTTGTAAATTCAAGCTTTAGGTATGCTACATGTTAAAAATGTCAATATGATCAAAAATACCATTTCTAAAACAAAAATATATATATCCCTGACAGGTCCAGTTCAAACTCACCGAAGTCAAAGAATACGAAAACTAATTTGCACCACAGTAGGTAATTATTAATGTATAATTGTTTAGACAAGCCAAAAATAAAAGTCAAATTATAAAAGGGATATTTATGTACAATGCTCAATCTGGGAGTGTTGATGGTGATATAATCATATCATAGCTTACCAATTCCAAAATTCTTCTCTCAAGCTCTACAATGACAGCTCGGTGGTTATCTTTGCAGATGTTTTCAAGCATTTTTTTGTTCACTGGTATGCTTGTGCCAGTAGCATCAATCAAAAGCTGCATAACGTTCCAGAGAACTTTGGTTCGGTTTCCATCCTTGTAGTCTTTCATGAGATCCTGAAGGATATCCTGTGGAGAATAGGACAAATAAGATAATAATAAGATAATACATTCTAAACTCAAGTTCTAAATGAGTAGCAGTCTTGCCATAATTAACAAGAATTCCATAACAACAATGCACAAACCTGAGTCAGGATTATACAAAGTTGTCCCAATAGATGGGGGGGGGGGCTTCAAGGCAAAGGCTATATTTAAAAATCTATCAGCAGAAAAATTCACTCAGGATATGTAAACTAAGAATGAGGTATGTATCATCTCATTGCTTTTGTGACACTCTTCAGAAGCTACTTATTTGCCTTACTTCCTCATTTATAGTTAATAATATGCATGCAATGGTAAAGAAGTTAAAACTATCTCCATCCCATTGACATTCACCTTCAATGGATACACTCTTTCAACAATTCAACATACTACTGAACATGCTCAAGACAAAAGTTTTCCCAATCATACTATGCCTCCAAAAGGAGTACCAGTTTATATTTTTTAAATATATCCACCTGATACCACAGAAGTCTTGTGCATTTCTGCACATAACCTCAAAAGAATAAGGAAGGTATCTGGCAAGTAAGAAACATTTAAAAAATACTCAAAATGCAACAGGTTCTCAAAGCTGAATTAAATAAAACTAAATTGAACAAGCATTCTGCATAATACTAATATGTATATTCTAATTCATACCTGATCTTGGAAAAAAATAACAAATTGTAAGGAAGGAATCACTGGACATGGTTAGGCTACAATAAACCAACCATACTAATGAAAATGGATTTGGCAGAGAATCATAAATTTTGTTTCAGGAACAAAAAATTGAAAGGGAAAGTGAAGAGAATCATGCTTCCATAATTTCAATTGCAGACTCATATTCCTAATTTCATAAAAGAGGTACTCTCTAAGCATTAGTGATCATATATCAGAGAGAAAAATATCAAATTATCAGAATATTAGACATTTTTAATATTTTCACATCCCTCTTTATAACAGACCCTAATGCCTCCCATCCAACTATGACTGCCTTCCATACCTGTGTCTTTGATTGTCCAGATGTCTCCTTCAGCTTCATTACCTTCTCACTGCTTCACTCAACATATAACCCTCATCCATAAATACCAGTTTGTCTAGGCAATTGTCTCATCCCTCATAACAAATTATAGCTAATTTTGCCCTGCTTCTCTTCACATTTCACAGCCATTTCACCAAATCTTTTCTAGGATCAACCTCTGGCCATTTCTGCTACATCCATATATCACTCAGTTAATAAACCCCATTAAGTGGCTTGTTGATCTATTTTCAAATTTTACAGAGGATGTTCTGAAACATCATTGCAGCTAACTTCCACGGACAAAGAGGGCTCAAAACATGACACAGATTGATATCACCCAGGAGAACATCACATGGAGGAATATTGCCCCATGTCTAAAGCATGTTTCTTAGATACACCATTGACATCAAAGGGAAATAAGACAGGGAGAAAGTGGATACAGTTGACCCCTCTTGAGCTAAGAAAATATTCATGTATCTAACACATAGATGATTGTGGCTGATTGATGGACCAACACTAATTCTCAGCATGTTTCAGAAGCAATAAAAAGCTGAAATCTGATACAAAAGTAGTTCTCAGGGTGCTGATTTCAGAAAAACCCTACTTTTTGGGGTACTGACACTGGACGTTTTTTTCTCGGGGGGGGGCATTTCTCATGACTTTTTTTCCTCCATAGCAGTCATTACAGTTGTGTTAAGGTTACAGTGTGAAGGAAAATTTTCAAGAGGGAATTCTCAAGGGGAAGCTAACAGTCACTCCACAATCCCTCCTCCCCAAAAACAACACTTTAAATTAGTAGCTGTTTAGCTACAGGAGGTACTGTATCAAAAAAATGTTTTGCAATAAAGCCCAATGAGGGCAAATGAGGGTACATCACATAAAAAGTAGAAACTGGGGCAGTTTCTACTTTTTATGTGATGTACCTGATGGACTTTTTTGGCAGGTGAAGGAAACTCAGGTGACATTGTGTGACCCCAGTACTCCATACACCAGAAATCATATGATGTAACAAGGCAAACTTTTTCAAACCTGTTGAGATTGACATAGAAACTTATATATTAATATCAGAATCTTCAAGGTAAGCTAAATATTAACCCTTTGACCACTAGATTTTTTCGGGCCTGGTGCACAGGGATGAAAGTTTGAAAACTAGAATATTTGGGCTTTATTGTCAAAGGGTTAACTTAATGCTGGAAACCCCTAGTTTTTTCCATGAGATACAAGGTACAGCAAAAGTGAGGAAACATAGGACTTTCAAGGAAATTTAATTGTCAAAAATATGTAAATTGTAAGTATATGTAAATTGGTGTTGTAGTGGTTTTTGTTTTGGGTGGTCCTCAAAAGAACCACTGCTTTCTTCATTGCAGAGGTGGAAAAATATATGTAACCTGATAACCAGGTTACCAGGAAGAGTAACAACTGATTGGGGAGGCAAGGCAGGAAGAATGGGAAGGTAAACCATGGTTACCTGGAAGAAGAAGAACTTTTTCCACCTTTGCTTCATTGGTTCTTATTTCCTACTGAAGTTGTTTGAATTATGTACCACCTTGCTTGTGACAGTAGTACAATTGATTTTCAAAGTCTGCATAGATGCATCCAAGTGTTTTGGCAGTGATTTCATTGCAAGCAGTTGTGATTCAGGCTTTAAGTTCATCAAGAGTTGTTGAGAGCAATTCATGATAGTTTTCAGATGACCCCATGAAAATAAATTAAGAGGAGTTATATCTGGAGTTTTGGCTGGTCCCTCATATGCCCCATGATGTCTGATCCATTTGTTTGGGTACAATTTGTCCAGGCTCTCATGCAATGCCCACACATAGTGAGGAACTGCTCAGTCTTGCAGGTATGCAACATTGTTTTTTCAATGTTGTCATCTAATTTTGCTTTGATTATCTCAGTAATGGCTGGTTTAACTGCATGTTGCACTAAATCCAGGTACATATTGCCAGTTTGGTTTCCTTCAATTAAGAAGGGTCCAACAATGTTTATTGCAAGAATGATTGAGTCAGAGAACGCTTCTTGGACCTTTCCCTGTGCCGAAACACGAAAAGGAGTCACTCTCATAAATCTTTAACCAAGCATAAGAATAGGTTGAGGCTTAAAAAATCAAAGAAAGGAACAAACCTTAATTGAGGCTCCAGAGCAGAGTGCATTGAACAAATCACTACAAGAAACCTCTACAGCTTGAACATTCTCCTCTTCAGCACAATGTCCATTGTCCTCTTCAAGAGGGCCCATTTTTATTTCTTGAATGAACCTTTTAACCTTTATGCCCTCATCCAATCATATGTCTATGCAAGGAAGGACACAAAGGAGTCACATTAGGCAAGGTTTCCCACAAAGAACATTTATACATAAAGCATCTAAGACATATAAGACATCTATACATAAATGTGTTGTGAAAGCATAGAGAATAAGGGAAACAAGGTCCAGGCACTCTGAAGGGACTCCTATCCCCTATCCACTTTTAATATCCCATCTACTTTGAATAATACATGGTCTTGCTTTGGCTCAACTAATTTGGATGAAACTTTGATGGTCTGTTTGGTACACTCAATCCATGCACAAAGTAAATTTCATAACAGCAGCAGTGTGAGAAGAGCTCTTGTCCTAGGCTTATAGTCCAAGCTCATGTCTATAAAATGTAGTTGTCAAAAACTGCAGAAAAGTTGAGTCAGAAGACTTCCAGCTTGTCCTTTAAGTCAGGGTTACACCAGTTTGACCAATAGACACTGTCTTCTTAAAAGCAAATTGTAATAAAATTAAAATGCTGCGAAAATGTTACAATAATTCAATTACCTAATTTGCTCATCACTCCAAGAACCTGAGTGTTAAATGCTAAAGTGTCTCCGGTCCAAAACGCAACGAAACTCTCGCTCTGAAATCCTTGGTTTTAACCTGGGTGGTACAGGAGTCAAGGTCAGTATCATCCACTTGGCCCGTAAGCGAAGACCTGGCCCGAGCAAAATGGGACTCTTATCCTAGTTCGGGCTGGGGCAAAGCTTAGTCTAGGAATGTCCTAGCGTTAAGAAATGCACTTTTAGATAAACTGAAATAGCACTAGCCTTTAACGTTGATCTAATTAGGCCTTACTTGCTGAAGGGGTTTGGAAAACGAAAAAGAGGCCCTGATTAGACACAACTGAACAAAAGAAGGGGCAAAAATGTATTAAAACAGGATCGGAAGACCAAGAGAACCCTATTGTGGAGGCGCCAGTGAGATGATTGAGGAATGAAGAGTGATTGATTTGATTGACTAATGAGAAGAGAATCCAGTCGATTGTGCTTCCGCGATGAGTTCACACACCCCCAAGACGGCACTGGCGCTACTGGTCTTTCGAATCTCGGGTCGTCTACCGAATACCAGTTATTTGTAGACCCTTAGAAAATGATCGTTTGCTTAAAAGTGCGTGTGAACTCATCGCGGAAGCACTATGGAGAGACCAGTTGACGGAAATTCCACAGTCCTGCCATCTATGTACAGTACCTTCAACAAGCAACGGGAAGAGAGGTCTGACATGGGGGGACGGAGAGGGGAGGTAAAATCTTGCGCATGTGATGACGTCCGCGAGCCGTTCTACTAAAAAAACGAGCCCTTTGGCCTTGGCGACTCACTACCTCGCTAGTTAAGGCCAAGGCAGGTCACACGCACTCGTTCTCTTGTCTCTCACGGCCGTAATACAATCTATTCGCATTTGTCAGAACCACCTAGGCAGCATTGTGCATACATTGCTGATTTGTTCGTTGATTTTGATAATATTCTTAGGTTACTTAATTTCATTCACTCTCTAAGTAGCGGTTGTTATGAAGGGCAGTGGCAAGGTTTGGATTGTCGCATCCTGTAGGAATACTTATAGGAATCGGCAGACATAAAATATTTCCTTCCATGAATTTCCAAAATGTCTAGACAGAAAAAAAAGGAATGGCTTCAATCGCTTGGAAGAAAGTCTATCCCCAGATATGCTTTTGTATGCTCGCATCCCTTCTCTTTAGATTTCTATCATGATCGAAACGCTATAAGGCGCTTAAAAGATGCCGTTCCAACAGAGAATCTGGCCTTAGATCCAATGCAACCTCCCCCATTCACGTTAGACAGACTCTGACGGTCCATTTCAACAAATGGAGGACCAGCAGGTCTCCTCATCTCTTGAGAATGAAAACAATGACCTAAAATCATCGTACCGGAAGATCGTGAATGCTCGTCGTTTGGAGGTAGAAATCCTTCGTCAGAAGTTGAAGAGAGCATAGGAGATACTGAAGCTGAGAAAAAATCTTTTCACTCAGGTGATGCAAAAAGGAACAGCCATCGAAGATTTCCGAGAAAATGTCACTGATTCAAAAACCAGTCCTCAAAGGTGTATTCACAAATACTTAAATGTGAAATAAGTTATCAAATGCAAGTACCCGCATATCCATCCATTGGCTATTAGGATCTTCATACCTACCACTCTACCAGAAATATTTTAGGCTGAGACACCTGAACAGGGAAAATGCAGTGAGGATGAACCGAGATCGTTAGGAATTGAAGAGAACAAATTGGGATTAAAGGTGACGAAAAAAGGATTTTCGTGACAGCTCAGATCCAAATTGGCATGACCGGACATCGAATTCACAAAACCCATCCCAAAAAAGAAAAGAGATTTTCGGTGCACAGGACATTTTCCTAAGTTTCGGACTTCGCGATGTCATTGTCTTGCACGGGTTCCCGTGCCAAAGGTGCGCTTCGCTACCCCGTCTACTTACACAGCATACCCTATATTGAGAGCCGTTCCACCCCCAAAAAGCATTTCTGCGCAGATCTAAGAAGGGTCTCTCCCAACCTCCCTTCTGTCTGACCTCAGGACTTCCCAGGGAGTCGAAGAGCGAAGAGACGCATAATTCCTACCGGAAACATCAATGTATTTCTTGCGAATTTAAAAACGGATTACAGTGACTTTGCTTTCGTATGTACCGCACTTACCCATGACGACTCTCTATGAACATACGAATGACGCAATCCACAAAGTAGATCCCAGACTTAGGCCGAGTTCATACTCGTGCTGTACAGCATGCTGGATGCTGCTGCTGCATACTTTGCTCAAAAATTCAATGGACGTTAATAATGAATTTTTTTAAACCATAGTGTGCAGTTTCAACATCCGGCATCCTGTACAGCACGAGTACGAACTCGGCCTTACTGAGCCTGAAAGTTTCCCTGAAATTTGTGGAGCCAGTTCATGTGTTTCATCGTCATCAGGTAGCCTACTGTCGACTCGATGCCTCTCGCCAGTAACGTGCCCAAAAAATCTCAATAGGATATTGATACTGACACATGAAAATTTGGTAACCCACCCTGTATTTGTGGCCAAATGTAAAAATGTTTGAGAATAGAACCTATAAAATGTATCCCAAGGGGGGGGGTTATGACCCCCAAACTCCCCCCCCCCCCCCTTGGGCACGCCACTGCCTCCCGCAAGTCCCTCGTCACCAGTCGAAATGCCGGACTCACGATCAGACAAGGCTGATGAAATCACTGACCCGATATCGGGAACTACTGTAGAATCAATCGTAGAACCCAATGGAGCCCCTGCGACTGAAGTTCAATATCTGGGCCTCACCGCTCGATTCATAGCGGTTCTGCAAAGAAACTGCAATGCTCCATCGACCGTGGGGGAACAAACTCGGTGCTGATGGAGTATTGCAAGTCTGTGATGGCATCGATTGTTGCTCCTGAAAGTGAAATTTCTATTTTTACTGCCATCATCTCAGGAGCCATCCACGAGCTTCATTCGTACGACAGATGCACCAGTGATTTTTGGCGCTTCAGGCAGTCTCAACCCAACATCAACAGTTCAGGAGGTACCTACTCCGAGGTACTTTACATCTGTATATCGAATGCTGTTTCAGTGGAGTATCTTTTATTTGGTCACATGCAGTATCTTGTTCAACTCAATCTGAGGACGGCCTTGCCATTATTAAGGCCTTCTCGAACTATTGTCAAGTTACAGAGGAAGGCAATCAACTTTTTTTCTGCTGATCGATCCCCAATTCGCTAAAGCAAACTAAAAAGTGACAAGGTTTCGAGCTAAGATCGAAACTCCGAAGAAAAAAAAGCTTCAGAGCATTATTTTATAGACTGGAGATTGCCTGGGGATATAGACTCGGCAGACCATAGTTTCGGAATCTTTGATCTCATAAGCTCGAGTGAACGGCATGATAAATGGTTGAAAATGATGAAAATGGTGGAAATACTGTTTCATCCTTCACGAGCAGTAGTGGTACAGTTACAGTGTTGTGGAGAAGGAAATATCATTGTGGAAACCCAACATCCAACTCTATTCTTCAAATTTATTCTTTCAACTTATGACACTCGCATTTTCCCCTCTCTCACAGAAGAAAGGTAGATGGACCCAGTTCAAGACAAAGATACTTGACATTTTCTCTTGTCAATTGTTGATCCTCACTATGTTTGGAAGAGCTCATTTGAGGCGAAACTGGACCCAACGCTCTACCTCCACCTCCTCCTATTTTATAATAATAAAATAACGTCAACACAAAGAAGAGGAAAGGGTATTAAATTGGACATCCCTAACGGCAAGGCCATGGCCTTCTCACACTCTCTGCCTCCATGAACTTTCACGAGCCCGGGGAAGGTGGGCAACTTCGAAGCCGCTCAGGCCTGAGGCCAGTACCCGAAAGCAGCCGGGCGAATTGTCGGCCCAGGAAAATACCGCCGGTCGGATTCGAGACCCTATCCACCGAGCCAGAAACGCAGTTCCTCCAAACATCCTCACTCCCTTCCACTCCCAAGCACTCTTCAATTGGTCCTTCACTGTTTCTTTTTCCTTTTTTTTAAAATAAGAAGTCCCTATTATGCCCACCATCATTGGTGTTCCCTGTCCGCGATTGATTTCAACCTCTTGGCCCGTAAGGCTCCTTCAATGACGCACACTCACTATTTGTAGGTGAGTAACTCTCATGTTAGTATTCAGCTCTTTGAGTTCATCGATCGAAGAAGTCTGCCTCACATATGTTCATTATTATTCATACAAATTCTCTCATTTCTGAATGGTCGAGGTTCCAAAACCTCTCGAGCCAGGTAGCCGAATGTCCATGCCCTTCGTCGAGCCCGGACTTGCACAATAAAGGTCATTACTTCTGTCCTTCACCATAAATGTTTTAGCTTGCAGACACGCCGTTCGTGGCTAAAACCAACTCGATGATTCTGATCGGCAGGGCATGAAGAGTCCAGGAAGCCTCAAGGTCGTCAACATGGATTCATGTCCATACCATGGTCAGGAGAACCACCAAACAGGCACCTGAAAAGAGAACATAAAGCACGACCAACTTGTCAAATCTTGATGAATGGATCCAATAAAACTTCGGAAACTGCGAGAGGACAAAAGTTGGTATCTATTATAGGATTTGAAAGAATTTCGTTTAAATGCTCATTGGTTAAGCAAAAGTAATTGTTAAAATCGGGTCTTTCTTTACAGTAGGATTTGCTGCTTCCGAAAGTATCCGTAACCACTGAAATTTGTGCGATAAATCTACAATGCGATAAATGATAAATCAGATAAATCATGGACGTGACACTAAGGTCTCATATGGGTAAATAAGAGTCGTGCTTGGAAGCATTCAATCGTAAAGTCACGATAAACGTCAACGCGAGGATGGAAATCTGGGCCTGCACAGGAACCTGAAGTGGTATAAGCGTCTGGTTGGATTTTTGATGGTAGCTTGCTTCCCTCACTCGCTAGTGCCTTCTAGTTTCCTTTTCTCGATTCGGACAGAAAATCATCGCTTCCTTCCATTTCCGCCCCCCCCCCCCCCCTCTTCCCCTCCTTCCTCAAGGCCCCCCCCTTCCCCCCCCCCCCCCCCCCCCCCCTCTTCCCCTCCTTCCTCAACAGCTTTCTACCCCGGGAAGGCAGAGGTGGATTTCATTTCAATCTGTGACTCGCATTTCTAATGACTCCTCCCTGCTGGCTGGAGCTAGGCCGATTCCTATATTCGAAGCGACGGCAAACGAGGGGAACTTACATTGCACGTGCAATGGGGCTTGTGTTGAAGGCGAAGGGAAGGAGGAGGCCGCGGGGAAAGTCATCGGTCGAACCTTCCGAATCGGAACCGACTGTTGCTGGGCCTGGGAAATCTTCTGGAATTGAAAGTCGGCCTGCCCGAAAGGAAAACAAAGACGTCAGGACGAAAGAAGAGCGACAGAAGGGACAAAATCGATCCCCGATCGCCTCCATTCGCATTCCGTACAGGGCAAGACGGCCCCTCGTGGTTTCTCAATCCCCTCCAACCTCGTTGCAGGATCAGATTAGCACGACGAAATAAAACAACCTGCATGAAGCATCTCCATTCGGATTTTCGTCCCGTTTCAGACCAGACAATCCTCATGACCATGCGAGAAACGTCCCAAAAGAAGCGTTGGGGTTTCCAACAGCAGGTCGGTCCACACATCGCTTCGCATTGGACCCAACATTGGCATCGGAAAGTCATCGCAAATTCTTTCTCGAGCAGGACAGTTTCTCTCACGACTCCGACACCGAATGGCGCATGTTCTCCGCGTCCTTGTCGAGGCAATCATAAAGTCGTCGAACTCGAAATAAACTCGCCCGCGAGTAACAAGTCAGAAGGGGAAAACTTAGTGGCGAGAATAGTGGAAGCTAACGAGTCAGGAAATCTTCCCATACTACGATTTATACAAATTCTAAAACGATTGGAGCATTTTTGTTGGCGTGAATTTTCGCAGAATCTGCCGCGGGTTCATCTGTCTCGTTTTGGAGGCGATTCGGCGCATTCCACGATCCCACTAAAGCTGAAATCGGCACATCATAGCTCGGGATGATCATTTGCCGAGACCGTGTCTCACCTGGAAGCCCGTCGCATCAAATTTATCGTTGGAGAAAAAAGTGACTCGGAAGAACGTCCCCTCCGAGGTGAGGACTTCCGGCTTCTTGTTCCCGCAATGCCGGGGGATCCCCCGGTCCGAGGAGATGAAGTTGGAGAACTCCACGAAGTCGCTGGCCGTGGAATCCAAGCATCTGCGAAACGACCGAAATCAATCGATCGATTAATGAGTGCGTGTTTATTGTCGGACGACGGAGACGCGATGAACAGCTGGCATTTCGTAAATTAGCGCCTTCAAAAAGGAAATTTCCATGACTGATTCTCACTTTCAGAGATCACGTTTATGGCCTATCTGCTCCGTTGATGCTAATTTACAACAGGGTTTTTCCGTATTAACTTTTTCGTCATTAACGGAAAGCAACTTTCTAATACTAAACGTCATTATTAAGACCTGCCATAGAGCAACGAACGCGAGGGGGGGGGACGCTAGGGGTTCTTCCCCTCCCCCATACGTCATTCAGCTGCTTTAATACTGAGCTCCCCCTTCCGAAAATCATCATGGATTGTACCGCGACAGGCAAACACCAGAGAGAAAAATGTCACTGAAATGGGACTCGGATGGAAAATATGGAACTTGAAAGAAACAGAGTATCTGATAGGGTGCTTTTCGTCTCATGCGGCCCCACCCCCCCCCCCCCCCTCCCACACCCCCTACCCCCTCTCCATCGTCCTCGGCCGCATCCCTGACGCGGCTCCTATTTGCTCGGAGAAGATTCACGCCGTCGTCCCTGATCCCGTATAAAAGACGTGACCACTCGAGCAGAATTATCGCCTGGAAGATCGACGAAAGACGGAGAAGGAAGGAAGAAACCCCGCTCGGTTTCTTCCACTTTCGCCTCCGTGAATTTTTTGCCTCGACAGGTACTTACTAAATTTGTCCTTCACTTCTCGTCTCGATAAGCGGGAGCGGGAGTGCACAGAGTGAAGTTTCCGACAGTTCTCCGTAAAGATAAGAACAATACTCATCTGGAAAAAATAGACTCCACTCCCCGTGAAGTGTTTATGCCATGCTGGTGCGATACACACTTGAGAACAAGGACATGCACAACTCCGACAAGAAAAATGATGCATCGGAAAAAGTCGAGCTAAGAAATGATCAGTGCTGGGCGGTAACGAAATGAAAGTAACACGTCACAGTAACTAATTATATTTTACGGTAATTTCAGTGGTAACGAGTAATTTTACGGGGACTTGTAACGGAAGCAGTCACCAGTTCCTTTTCTAAGTAAAATGCCAGCGGCGTTACTGTAACGCGTTACTTTCTCGATGGCAGATGAAAGTGACAAGCGCCGCATAACAGCATTCATCCTCGTCATCACCGAAATCGCATTCAAAGCTGAAAACGTAGTTCAAGTTGATTACACCCCAAGCAACCAGTGCCGCCGAGTCACAGCCTCGGGCCATTTCCACCTCCTGCTGCCTCTCCAGCCCGCTTTAAGAAGCAGCAAACCTTGAGGCTGCACTCGCGGACGCGACTCGTCTACGGAGAGGATTCCTCACGCCGAGCGTCTCCTACGCCCGCGCGTGTAAACCCTGAGATGCAATGCGAAAGCTAGGATGGAAATTTCCGTGACTTTTACCAGAGTACCGCTAGTAAGACGAGTTCCAAGTCGACAGGGCTTGGAAAAATTAACTTTTACTTTTAGCTAGTTATCAGTTATCAGCAGTTAGCAGTGAGAAGCTATATTATTAAATAATTCAAGGTTCAAGGTTCTTTGTTGTTGGTGATATCAAACGGCGATAACACCCATTGGGATATCACGTGTCGAGATCGAGCATTCCATAGTTTTAGGGTAGGACGTACTCCTCTTAAAATAGGGTGACCATATTTTTTTTTTTATAAGGAATATCCGAGACATTTTCCCTCCGTTTACGGTTGACAATAGGCCGATGAGCTGCTTGCTGCAAATGAGTGGCACTGAGAGGAAAAATCGCTGGATAGTTTTCCGAGCAGGGCAGTACCTCAAAACCAAAGGCCGTTCCAGAGAAAACGGCCTGTCCCGATTTTACCGGGACGATCTGGTCACCCTATCTTAAAGCCAATTTTTTTTGTATTTTTGTGAGTTTTGTGTGTGTGTGTTTAGCATTTCCTAGTAACTTATTGCCTAGTCCCTTAAGTCAACATTGCCCCACTTCATGCTTGTCCATAAAAGCATCTAGTTTCTTCTTAAAAAATGGTCACGAAAGGGGCAGCCACTACGTCGTCGTCTAACGCATTCCACGCATTTACCACTCTACAAGTAAAGAAAGTCCTGTCTTAACCTGAGCCGCACCTGCGGTTTACGCAACTTGAGTCGATTACCTCTCGTTCTCTTGCTGTCATCAAACTGGAAAAACCTATCACACTCGACATTATCTATTCCTTTAATTATCTTGAACGCCTGGATGAGATCGCCCCTACTCAACCTTCTTTCGAGCGAGTACAGTCCCAGCACTTCTAAACGCTTCTCATACGGAAGTCCCCTAACCTCCTTTATGATTCTTGTGGCCCTCCTCTGTCCTCCCTCGAGCGCCAACAATTCACCCTTATTTGCAGGCTTCTTTTCTTGCTCCACTCATCCAAAAGACTCAAATCTCGCTCGGCTCGCTCGGTCGACGCTTCCCCATTTACCATTACTCATTGCTCTCTTCCCGTCAACCAGTTACTGATGCACTCGCTCGTCCTACCCTGGATCCTACCGTCCTACCGTGGGCCTCCAGTTTAACCCATAACCTCTTGTGAGGAACGGTATCGAAAGCTTTCACGAAATCTAAATAGATGATGTCCACTGGATTCCTCTTATCATTAATCTTAATTACTCCTCGGATGGAAAATTATTAATTGTAACTAGTTACTTTTCACACGTAACGTACCCAACACTGCGTATGGTAAAATTATGAGTCCACAAAATGAACATATGGTATCCTCGTATGGCACCACATGAAAAAGGACCAATTCCCAGACCAATTCTTTGCAATTCCCGTTCGATACACTCGAGACGACGACGCAAAACTCACGGAGGGATCCCTTCCACGTCGAAATACTTGAACTGCAGCGAAACGTATTCCCCCGGCCGCCCGTAGAAGAGATACCGACACGTGGTGGTCCTCGGGTAGAGGCCCGGGTAATTGGGGCTGGCGATCCGGCCGTACTTCTCCCGGCTGCCGTTGAACACGAACTCGCAGATGGGGAACCCGTCTCGAATCACCTGCTCTCCGCTCGACATCCCGAAGTCTAGGAAGGCAGGAGGACGAGGTTGGGCGATTCCGGTGGGGGTCTTAGGGCTTCATTTTCGTTTCAGTTGTTCGAAGCTTGAGACGTCCTGAGACTTAGCCTAGACCTAGCCATTTTCGCATCGATGGGAACACGTTCGGGTGCACACGATACACGACAGGTATGAGACAAGGTTTGAGGACTTGATTTTGATATCGATAAATGCAGTGTAGCATATCTCGCACCGAAACCTTTAATTATCGGCAAGGGGTTGAGAAGGAGGACACTTAATGGGTGTTGCGGTTGTGAGGTAAGGGACTTCATTTGCACAGTTGCTCATACTCCCGGACCGGCATGCGACAATGATGCAGGACAAGAAATGCATGCTCCTTCTGAGTCGTCTGGGTTATTTTCAAGTAGATCATCCCGGTTAGCTTTCCGTTCTCTTTCATTTTTAAGAGAATGATGACTGCGCTTCGGGGAGCAACCAGGACCATTGAAAGGGGAAAGGACAGGGATATTGAGAAGACACACCTCTCACGACGCACAGGAATATATTTTCTATCTCCGCATTTGTAGGGGAGAATCCTAACCCCTCGAGTCACTCAAGCTGCGCTTTATCATCTTTTTGCGTTTGGAGATCTGGGAAATGGTTGCAGCCCTAGCTGCTCCATCACCCACCGCACCCGTGGACAGGGCCACCCAGAGGTTTTCAGGGGCCCTTGGCAAAACTAAACAGGAGACCCCTTGAGACCCTTTGGAGGCCCCCCTTGGGACCCCTTGATAAGTGGGGTCCGGGGCAGATTGCCCCCTTTGTCGTCCCCCCCCCCCCCCCCCCCTCCTCTGGGCGCCCCTGCCCGTGGAACGGGAACGAACCTGACCTGTGAGGAATTCGTAGAAGGCCTGGAAACCGTGGATGTGAGGTCCCGAGCGATGACCGTTGAAGAGGAGTGTCATCGTGTTACCCGGCGACATGAACGCCTTCGGCAACCGATCCCCGCACAGATCTTCTAACGCCTCACCCTCGGGTTTCTGCCTGGATCTCACGAAGATCCTGACGCGGTCGCTCGCATGGCAAGGCCCCTCCGACGACTCGCCGTTCACGGTCCTGCGTCGAGGGAGGAAAGAGTCGGCTTCCGATCCCTCTCGCGTCGCTCAGATGCGAACGGAAACGAACGTGGACTGCGGCTGGGGGAGTTTGAAGTGGGTGAACACGAGGCGGATCCTGTGCTGAGGGGCGCCCAAGAGACGATAGACGCATTCCGTGTCCTTCTCGTACGGCCTCGGGTAGTTGGGGGACGTGATGCTGCCGTTCAGCGCCGACTCCCAGCTCAACGTTTCCGTGCATACCACGCCTGAAACCGGCGAAAATGGAAAAGTAGCCGTTTGCAACATGGTGCAAAAAATGCGTCCTTTGACGTCTAATGGATCTTTAGGAACGAGTCATCGAGGAACTCATGAAAGCCCAAATTTTTGCTTCTTGGGGCTCTGAGTACTGAAATACAGAGATGTAAAATAGCAAATATAAGAAGTTCTATTGGGTCATTCAAAGTTCAATGTAGGAACAGACAGTGAATATCTCATGGATTTTCTTGAAATTTGGCATGAAGGTTTGTCTCTGTGGAAAAAAAAATCAGACCAAATACTTTTCATTGAAAATCATAATTTTCAAAATATAAGATCCCTGAGTTTTGACCTTACCATACTTCTGCGCGGCTCTATCAGGACAAACGTCTTTTATACAGTACTTCATTCCAATGCTCTTAGAGGAACCTTTACGTCTACTGCATTGTTTTTCACTTTTATTATCCGATGTGCCTACTTTCTCTAAACAGTGTTGATAACTTTTAACCTTGAATAGCAAAAGATGCCATACTTAATTTTTTAGTAAGTTGCAATTCTTAAAGGATTCGTACTCATGAAGAGGGTATTCCTAGCTTAGAATTATTTATCTCAAAATGAAGTAAGAGAAACGAAGAATGCATAATATATCATTTATTTTTTAAGCTTGAATTCTGGGAAGAGCTTCAGGGAAGAATTACATTTTTATGCTTTTCTTTTAGACAAGGGGAAAATGTTCTTTTGATCAGTTATTCATTTGAAGACTCTACGCCTCTGCAGAACTCAATTGACAGGACAGAGAAAATCAATTATTGGAACGATGCGCTTTCAATGTTTAAAGTTTTTTTATGATGAGGATGGCCCTTTGGGGTTCATGGAACCGACCTCCACTCTTTGCCTTTCACCAGACTCTGTCTTTCTAGGTGACAAGGTACTCCAAGGTACCACAAGGTACCAATCCCAACAGGATCGTCCGTCAAAGATGACCTGACGATTTCTCTCCTGTGAACGCTCGATAGGCTCAGGATTTGGGAATTTATCGCTGCAGTATGTGACAAGGTACATTCAGTCAGAAAGGTGACGTTCGAATGGATTTGAATATTTCAATGAAACCAGAGTATATTTCGCCACAGTTGCTTGCATGCAACCCTAGAAATTACGATTTCATAGGGCCATTCTACAAGAAGTGATGGTGAGGAGGCGGATTCACAATGCGGATACGGTTCGGATAAACCACCAAATGCCAGTCGTTTCCCCTCCTCCCATCCCCCTCCCTTTTGTGGATGAGGAACGAAGCCGGGAATCGGACCGAGAAGAAAAGGCTCTCGCTCTGTCTCACCGATTCTCGCGCGCGATTAACGGAAAAGCATGAATGTAGCGCGATCGAGATCCATGGCGAGAAATTCTCGGGAAGCGGGCGGAAACGACTTCGCATTCGGATCTCGCGTCTAGAATCGCAACGCGTTCCTCGCTCGCGAATCCGAACGGCAGGGAGAGACCCACCTTTGAGAGAGGCGGCCGCGGCTGAGGAAGAGGTAGGTGAGAAGAGAGAGACCGCCAGCAAGAGGAACCTCATGATAGAGACTGAACGGGTTGACCGACTCCACATCGATTCGCATCCCGGCAGATCACCCCCCCCCCCATCGCCTGCGCTCTCTGTAGCGGCTTGCCTTCCCCGGCAGGGCGGGCTCAGTCGAGCAGAGGGGAGCCGCACTTACTCGCAAACTCTGACACTCGGGCGACCGTTCGGAGCCTTTAATTTGGTATAGCTATGTGGATGCTACAAAATCGATGACTCAAGAAATGAGACAGAAGTCACTACTCCATTTATTTTTACCCTATTACAAATGACTGAATTGGCCAAGTAATTTAAAAACATGACGCTCTTTTGCTGAAAAATGTATGCATTTTCTTGCAATAGAGCAACAAAGGAAGCTTCAGAAATCCATTGACATGGCACTGCTTCCCCCACACATAGGAAGTTACAATCAATCGACGAAATTATTAAATTAAGTCGCAAAAAAACACAAGGCCGATATCCACGAATGTGACGCTGATGGGCTTGCTTCATCTTCAGGATTTCTCCGTTGTATCGCGAGCACCGAGACAATATTTTGCCTGCTCAGAGCCTCGAATTTATAATAATGATAAGAGGGCAGGCTATACAACAGGCAAACAACAAAACTACTGAGCCTTCTTCGAAAAAGGAAGTACTTGCCTTCGTTGACAATGCATCCAATTAGGGTAGCAGGTAGTGAGTTAGTACTGGCGGCACTCGAACTAAAGCCATCTCAGAAATGAGGTATGTCGGTTCGTCTTCCCGCTAAAATTGTGCCTTTCAGGGGCAACTTCGTATGGACTGGTACTCAAAAGACTGAGAAGTACACGTACTAATTAAACAGCTGCAGATAAGCTTTTCAGCAATAAAAACTGTTGCGCCGGTTAGGAAATGCAAAGTGGATTTCCCTTGCCTTAACAGTTTCTGTCCCTTATTGCAAATACCGAACAGGACTTGTCTGCTTTGCATCATCAACACTAGTATCGAAAAGTACTTTCAGTGAGGTGTAGCCGGGGGAAGCAACAGTGTGACCGGATCCAAGATGCTTGGATATTCAGACAGCAATCAAGAAGGTTGAGGTTGAGGCTGTTCGTTGAAGTTCGTAAGAGAGACCTTGAGGTTGTACGGAAGCGTCTTTCTCAGGCGTTCTGATGACTCCGTTCACCCCTTGAAGTTACCCCGAACTTCGGGCGGGGACGCGAAGGGTGATATTAAAGAACAATGGGCAATTGCGAACTATTTATTGTTCTATTACGAGGACAAATATTGGGGGAAGGGAGATAACAAGGGATAGCTGTCTCACGTTAACGGGGTGCCTGATGACGGATCATTGGTCTTTCCCTGTCCGGCGATCACAGACAGATATTCGCCGAACAACACTCGATACGGTGTATCCTTGACTTCGGTGACCACTCGTGCGCGACGCTGTTGACCGGTCACTGTCAACAGACTCTGCTGTCGGGTACTGTCGACTACTGTCCGGCGAATCACAGGTCGACGGGGACGACTGACTGAAACGCGACTCGTCGACGGCGGAGAAGCTACGAAAACTGGCATCTGGTCGACAACGGACTGGCTCCGAGGGAGACGGAAGGGAAAGTGGGCAAGTGCCCATAACGTGAGCGTGGGAGGCTCTTCCTTCCCTAACCGTTACATCATACATAGCGGGACTCGGGGAGAACTCCACAGAGGTACTTAATTCCTTTGGATGAATGATGAGTATCTTATATGAGCAACAGTGCATAAGAATGCGAAATCAACACGCAACTTTATTGCCAAGAAACTGATATTGAAACATTAAGAACCTATATATATGGATTTGCCTCTAAAATGTGGTTCTAAGGAGTCGCAATTACTGAGCTAGTATTTCCAATGCAGGAAAATCAGTGTTAACGGTACTTGTATAAGCAAAAGAATCAATTTGTGCCCATCTCTGCAGAAGGGTGTACTTCATCCGAGTGCTTGCAAGTAAGAGTATCGACAGTTCTTACCAGGGCAAAATCATATCACAAGTGCCACATGAATGGACTTGCCTCGTCTATAGGGTGTGCCTCAAGGTTGCAAGTGCAGGGAGTTTTGTAAAGTACTTTCAGTGAGGCACTGAAGTGATTTGAGCTAATGTCTCAGCTGAGCCTCTTTGAGGGCACAGACAATTGAACAGGCGCTGAAGGTCACAAAGAGCAATTGCAAAGGAATATTCCATAGGAGTCGCCAGAACAATAACTACTGAATTGATTTTGGCATGTGATACTAATTGCCCTGAATAATCTATGCATCCTCTAGCTCAGTGGTGCCCAACCTTTTCGGCTCGAGGGCCACATAGCTCACTCCCACAGCCATCGTGGGCCATAAGCAGTTACTAGTATTGTAGATTATCCTAAGGAAACCTGAGGGTATTTATTGCGGGTTAAGGCCCCGCCGCAGGCCAGTTTTTGCCCGCGGGTCACGGGTTGGACACAACTACTCTAGCTCAAAGGTTGTGTTCTCATATTTTCCTTCCAGGAGGTAGGCAATATTCCAGGACATCCATATAAAGATGGCAAAAACATGCAATCTCACTGCGTGCTTCCAAAAGGAAGCCACATCATTATTTACGGAAGAAAATATCCTTCACTGAGGATGTGCATGGCAAAAATTGACCCTTTTAACCTGAACTTCTCTACTGTTGGATAGCCAATCCTTTCATATAGGGTTGTGCCAATCACCACTCTTGGCCAATCATGATTTTATGACCAGCCGGTGCAAATTGTGACAATCTAAGATACTAGGGGGAGGAGCCACCTCGTCTCTTCTACCTCCAGTAGAGAGCGGACTCTTGTTACTCCCTATGTATGCCAGTGCATAGGATCATCGTTCTTTCCTTCCGGTGAACCCTTTCCTGGTTAGAGTTTACAAGAAAACCAGTCCTTTCCCAGCTCATTGTATGAGTCGACGGGGTGGGTGAGTGATCAGGGTTCCATTTTTATATTTGTTCCTGTTGTACTATCTTGTATCTTTTTACGGATCCCACCAACAGTGGGCCCGAAATTGGAGTAAGGATAATTTAGAAACACCCACTATCAAAATTACTTTTTCAAATAGACCTATTAGGAAGTCATGTTCTACTCCTCTTTATGGGCTGTAGAGGAGACTATTTTGAAAGCGTCGATATGTCGACCTGAATCCGTTGGCACTTGATATCACGGGGGTGGGGGAGTGAGGAGTGCAGACAAATTGTCATCTCCAACACCAATAGGGACACACATTTAAAGCATGAACAAACTCCATAAAACAGATGTGATGCTCAATAGAACTGCTCTTTATTCTAAAGGCCCTTAAGGTGCTTTGTTTTAAAATGAACTGCATAAAATGAGGGCACAAAGAAATATCAAAAACACATAATGCCCATATAAACAGGCTCCAAGAAAAGAAATATAAAAAAAAAGAACCCAAAGTATGTACACAAGAGCCCACCACCTCACAGGATAAGCTACTATGATCTGGGAGAAGGAATAAAAAAAATATTTTGAGAATTGAGCCTTCTTGGTATCACTGCCTTGTTCTCAATCTTTCCGTCTGATTGGTGACAGGGTTGCCATCTTGGTTTGGTCGAGATTGAGCCTCTTCACTGTTGGAATCCCATGCTGCCTGGAGCTCAGAAACCTGCCAGAAGACAGTACTTGTTTACTTATTAGGCATAAATATTCCAAATAAAAAATTCATTACTAGCTTCTACTACACATGGATTTTGGGGAATTTAAATGCAGTTGCTTATTAGAGATCAAAGTAAAGGTCTTATATCAATGAGTGGATTGGTCTTACCCTAGTCCTAAAGAGCAGGCAAACACAGACATACTTGCTCATTTGAAAAGATGCAGAAAATAAGCCGTTACCAAGGTACTTGATCAGTTTCATAAACAATTTTGTGAAACCAATGCATTTAATATGGCATCCTGTAAATTTCCAACAGATGTGCATTACAACTGCAGTGAAGTAAAGCTGGGCAAATTTTTTTTGGGAACATTCAGTATATATTTGGAAATAGCTAAATTAGGTGTAATGATCCAACTGATGGCATACCACATAGCTCAGAGGGGGGAATGAGATGGCCATATGAAGGAGTTCCTGGCTGGTAGATTGAAGAGCAGAAAGGTTCCAATGAATCAGGTTCAGGCCATCCTCCTTGAGTTCAGTCATGTTCTGCAGAATACATATTGCATTAAAGATATTGCATGCAAATGGATATAACAATGCACATTATCAGCATGACCTAACAAGAATCAGCATAAGGCATTGTAGAGGAAACAGTAGCAAAAAAAGTATTAAGCTAGGTCAATGACTGTCATGACATTAAATTCTCTTTCAGTATGAAATTGCTCAACCCAGGAAACAAGACTAAGTCATACTTCTTTCGTTCCCTATTTGATTTTGCTCCTGGCTTCATAAGGTGGTAAATAATTCCTGAATATATGTTAATGGCTAGTCAATGAAGTGACACCTTGTGTCCACAAGGTAAGCATGATGAAACTCACATTTGGCAGGGAATTGTAAATAGTGGAAGCAAAGTGATGAGCTCGATCGATAGCCATCTGAGCTTGCTCAGGCATGTACTTGTGACTTTGCTCATATACAGAGACCAGATGCTGAGCCAAATTACGGGCACGTGCAATGACATCTCCTTCCCAAGACTGAAGTTGCTTGCGAACAGAATGAGTCATGGACTTCAGTGAATCTCCTCTTTTGTGGAGCTGCTCTTTACTCCACCCCAGCTGTAGAAAAAAGCCATCAGTTAAAGGGAATGTCAGTCTTACTTTTGAGTGATGAATAAATTCCTGAACACAAAATTATTCTCTTACTCTTTCACAGATTTAAAAAAATCTGAAATTGAGTTCAATGGGTGATTGGCAGAATTCTTATTCATAATGGTATACCCAATGAGAATTTATAAGGAAATTTCCTTGGCTAGCAATCCTCTTTTGGGCACCAACATCATAATCATTGTTCTACTAAAACAGCTATTTTACAAAAGACAGCACAATCTCAATCATGGAGAAACTACCTTAGTGAATTGTAAGTGAACAGGTGAATTGAAAGCCAAATTGTAATTCATGGCTAACTGAGGCCATTGTTTCGTTTTATGAATCAATAAAAAAAAGTGTTGCAGAAAAAGGAAACTGGTGGAAAATCATTGCATCTAATAGGAAGTTTGACAACTCCATTTAGTACTGGTGTGTGAATACAATTGTCACCATGGAGACCACTGGTCTGAAACTACATACTTTTTCTTGCCACAAAGCATGTCTTAAAACTCCAAAGGCAAGCAACAGAAAATAACCAGCTCTACTCCCATTTCAAATGGGAAGCCAATCAAGTATTAAAATGTAAAATAAAAAGTGACCACAAAAAAGTGAATGAATAAAAAGTATGCAGTAATGTAGTAATGAGCTGAGAACCAACCATGTTAATGATGCCAGACAGTTGGGTGATAGTGTCCATTGAACGGTGCTGAAGTTGAAGGAACTGCCATTGGACAAGGTGAGTCAGATGACAACGTATTTGATAACCACGATCCATTACAGCTTCCAGGGAGGGATCCACAGAAGTACCAGTAGGGGCTGGCTTGAAACCTTTTGCATAAAGAAAGGTGCTGGGAAGGATAAGACATGCAATGCACCCTCTATATTTTCATGACATTAACCAGCAAAATGGTCATGAGTTAACTTGTCACTGCACTAGTAGTACACTACTTAATTAGAAGAGTAGCTATTTGACCTAAGTAACTTTCCTTACAAGGCCTGACAAGTTTCATAAAGCCAAAAATGCTTTCAGGAGGAAATAAACCCCATTTCCATTGGGGAAAAGACCTGCCACTAGGGGGTATGAAAGTAAATATTTACTTGCTACTGAAATGTTTAATGCAAATTTAATACAACCTTATTCCTTTGATCAATGAACTTATTTACCACTGCCATGAATAAGGAGCTCATGAGGTGCACTTCTCATTTGAGCACAAGGATATTGTCCCTTCACCCCTTTCATAAAATCCCTGTTTGTAATGCCTAATTCAAGTGTTCAAGCGTAATTCTGCAAGTATTTCCAACGTATTATATACATTTTCCCAAATGAATATAATTATTCAGCCAACAATTCACAAACTATTAGAATTTACCTTTCAGCTAACCTCTTCTAACCAGGGTTGTCTTTGTCCTACTTCTAACAGCATGCAAAATTTCATTAGTGATGATCCATTCTGGACATTTACTGCATTGGTTATGGATATGCTCCACAAAGTGAAGCATACACTAATGAAATTACTTATTAGTAGCTATAAATGGATGCAATGGATTGCTGGAAGCATCACTGGAAGCAATTTCATTCTCCTGGCTCTTGAATTAGGCTTAGCCCAGAGGTTCCAAATTTGTGGTACACTTACCACTGGTGGTATGCAAGGCAATGCCAGGTGGTACATGCAAGAGGTTTCCAAAACAGGCCTTTTTTAAATTTTGCAGTAAAGTTGCTAAATGTACTTGTATTCAAGTATAGGAGACTAAATGGTAGTATGCTACATATGCACCCTGGAAGCAAGTGGTATGCAAAAGGTTGAAAATTTTGGCAATTGCCAGTTTAATCCATAAAAGGAATTACTGAAAGGGGGATTAAGTAGTGTTCTTGTGGACATATGTACTTAGAGAAGCTACAGTTGAGCGTGCTGCCAGTGCAAAGGTGTAGTGATACACTTTGATTATTGGGGTGGAGGGTAGATATGACAAGTGACCTCTCCAGATGAGAATTTCATAATGGTTATATAAAGCATACAGATAATATACCACATGCTCACGTTACCTTTCTCATCAGGGGGCAAATACTGAGCTATGAAGGCATCAGTCAGATGAAGGCCCTGTTCAATGGTCTTGAGAGCCAGCTTCACATGTTTACTGTCTAGTCCATACTGCAGAGAACCATGGAACTTCTCCCCACCATACTTCAAGATGGCATTCACCATTTCAGCGGTTGGCTTGGCTTTCGTTGCAACATATGCTTTGGTCTCCTCCAAGACCTGGACAGCACATTGTGAAAAAGACTTACAATTTTTTAATATAAAATATTCCAATATTCCAAGAGGAATGCTATGATAGCAAATGGTCAAACAGAATTCTGGCTTTAACGCTTAGTGGTTCTGTCAGGGATACACTGACGATCTAGCCTGAATATAGAAGAAAAAGGACCACAAAAGGGTTAAGACTAAGAGACTAAGCCTGAATCACAAACAGCTTGGACAGGGATGGAATGGTCAAAAGGAAGAGCATTAGCATAGGCCAAGGCCTATGTTAACCCTTGTCATGCCAAGGAGACAGCAGCTGTCTCTGCTAAACATTTTGTTGAAAATGAATCAGTACAAGGGTTAATATCCACAGCCTATAGCAAGGTTAAATTTCCAAGGATTTTTTACTTTTCAAATCATGCACTCATAGGCTTCCTACAAAAGATAAAAGTCCCATGTAATAAGCATGAAATCTAAACAAGTTATCTTAGCTCAAACATTTGACATCCTTCCTGCGAGATCCTGTAGAACTTTTACTTTAAAGCACCTCCAAGCATCATGATCCATGGTGACAAGCTGGCATTTTAGGTTCAGGTTACATTTTTTATGACTTTCTAGTCCTCAGTGAATGAAAGTTTACACTAGAGCATAATAATAAAGCTAACAAGTAAGTTTTGGACTAGTCAGAAGTTCATTGTGAGTCTTCATGCTTGGAGGAAAAATAAACTTGCAATCACATGTTTACCAAACCTCCAAGCTCCTATATGGCACCTCAAAAAATTTAAACCCACAGTGAAGGGAAGGAAGGTTTCACATCTTGTTAATTATAGCATTTGCTTTTACTAAATCACATATATGGTACAGTAAGAAAACAAATCACCACCCTAAGGTTACTTTTGTGTCAGCATATTAAAATTCTTTGATTTACTATTGAACAGATCAGAATCAAGCAGAACATGGCACACTGGATATAAAAGGCTAATAGGCTACCAATGAGAGAATGTTGAGCAAAAAATTTTATAAATGCCACACAAAGGAAAAAAAAAAATCCCTGGTGCAATGGCCTGGTCCACCTTCATTGAGACCAATGATGGATAAGGGCGACTACAATAAGAACCAATACATAACAAAATTGGACCAATAACAAGTTACCTGATGGGGTTCTTCCTTGATGATGGGGACAGACTGCTCAAGCACATCCAACCCTTTGCATGCCATCTTGTCAACCATTGTCAGAGGGACTTCACAACGAGCAACTAATGGAAGCACACCATGAAGTGCTCGCTGCATTCCAGCTTCAGCCACACCTAATCCATACCCCATATAGGGCTTTTCCTAAAAATACATAAGGGGATGAATCATTGACTAATCAATACAGTAAATTTGGTGAAAGCAAGGCCCACTCTGATGGGGTTTCTTCAAGCCCTTCTTCCCCCCTCCTGTCTACCTGATCAAAGATTTACCAATTCTTATCTTTCCCCATGAGATATATCTATATTTTTTATTCCCAGTTATAGCTTTGAATATTTCTCCAGACATGTATCCTAAAGTCACTCAAGAGTCAGGCTTACCTTGGCTTTGCCATACATGTCTGCAGCATAATTCACAGCAGCACTGACGGCTGGGAGATTCCACATCCTACGAAGGCACTCCAAATCAAGGGGATTCCTCTCTACCATGACTTCACCATCCATCTCCAGTTGTTGCTTTCTATACATATACGAGTTATGTGACAACACTTTGCCTCAAGGCTTTTTATTTTTCTCTGCTGTGCAAGGGTAGGCTGGAAAATTTGAAAAGAGCAATTGAAATTGAAGCACTTTAAAATAATACCTCAACAGTTTACTTATACAGAGAAGTACCAGGATAGTGCCAGGTACCAGGATTATATAGGCCTTGGGCATAGAATTACCTATTGTTCAATGCAAGGTGTAAAAAAAAAAATTGTGTTTCCAGAGAAAAAAATGAAATCTTGGTTTTATAGGGCTCCATTCAGGTCCAAAAGGTCAGGCCTTCAGCTTCAATATGCTGTATCCAAAATGTGTGGAAAATATTGCTTGGGAATGTCAATTGGTGCATCCTGTTTTTCTTTCATCCTTTCCCATAGCTCTTACAGAAGCAAATGAATAAATAAACTCTTGTGCACGACTCCAGACTAAAAATGGCAAGTAAAGCATGACAAATATTATGGAAGCTACTTTCTCTTCTTACAGAAATAATGGGAGTCAGATAGAAACGAAATTTCCAACATACTGAAAAAAAAAAACTGATATTGATAATATCCATATAATTTTTTCCATGTGCTCTCTGGGAAAGATTCCAAAAAAAATTAGAAACTTCTTAATTTTAGAAATTAGGAATATATTCTAAGCAGAGTCATTCCTAAAATAAGGGGGGAAAGCTAGAGGGTCTAGTCTTATCTAATCAGTGTATGTGTGTGAGTGCATTAGCTCAGGATCTAGCCATTTAACAACACCAAAAAACCTCATTTTGGAATAAAGCTTGACATGCAAAACTCAAATACAAAACCAAAGTATAATATCCTCAACTTCAATGTGTAACAATGAAAGCAGGGCTTTTGGGATACATGGATGACTTACCAGTGGTTCCTCTTAGGCTTCCAATTTTATATTTTTATATGATATATTTATATATAATATTGTATTTTTTTATATTTTTTTAATATACATTTCTCGATATTTAACCAATTGTCTAAATTAAATTTTTTTTTAATTTAAACGAAGGCATATTACGGGAAATTGACAAATTAGACCTGTGGGTCCCTTGACCTCTAGGATTAACCTGGTGCCAACTAAGATTGCCACGATGGCGGTTTTGAAAGCGCCGATCGAAGCATAGACCTGAACCATCGATTCCATGAAAATTGCATATCACTGGTTCTGAGGAATTAAATGGGGAGAAAAGGATATTGCCTATGAAAACGCACATCGACAAGGCGGATGGGCTATCGCAAGTATAGAGGGAAGAGGGATGGGGGGGGATAAAGCCTTCCGAATTGCTGTCAGTCGTCTCGTTGCCGGTGTGCCTCTCTCGCTTCTGGGCGAAGAGAGTTTCAACAACACTCACGCAACTGCATATTCAAAATAAGGCACTTTTTCCGTGTCAGTGCCTTGTGACACCTAATAAAAACCATTGACGCATCGCTGTATCGTAACAAGCCCGTGTGTCAGCAGAGAAACTGCTGCTTCTAAGAGGAAAACAGAATACGTCCAAATGGCCCATCATGGGTAGAAAGTATCTCCTCCCATGCGTGGTCCCCAGTCTTCCCCCCAACCCTACTTATAAGAAATGAAGACGGGAACGGAGTATATATTCTTTTAACTCGGGATGTGATATTGAATAGGATCTCCCAAACACCTTATCTTCGACTTTATCTGGCAGCTGATAAAGAGTCTCACAAACAAAATTGTTGACGTCTGGGGAGAGAATCCTCCCACCCAATGACCTCCAAACGCGTTTCGAGAGCGTACGAGGATTGAGTGCTCCACGGGAAATTTAATAAAAAGGCTAATTACTTTTTTTTTTAGCATGCACGCACTTTCTTCCTACCGTGGCGATCTGAAACGGGGTGAGATTAAACACGAAGTTCATAAGTTCTTTTCTGTTCGTAAGGAAATCGGTAGCAATGCAGTCCTGGATAATGACGCACAGCCCCCCCCCCCCAACATGCACTGTACATGGTAGTGTATACTGCATATACGTGGTAAATACAGGAAGGGGGGGGGGGGGGAAAGGAGGCTGCCACCCCTCACAATTCCTAACATGCCAGAGCAGTCTTCATAGAGATCCATGGCAGGCGAGGGTAAGATGAATAGCCTAATTATATGTGAAAGAATGCACTTTTGTCAAGGGATACTCAAGTCAAGGGATACTCAGTAAGGATAAGCCTAGATACAACTTGTGGTATAGGCAATGGTATATTGAATAGGAAAGTGGTTCAGCAATCTTCTCTACCACCCATACAAACACTTTAGGCTCCAAGAAAGGAGATTCAAGGCAAGGCATCTACAATGTGGGGCAGGTGGTTATCGGGGCTACAAAGCAAAATTCCTCTGCAAGCTCATACTGCTTCCTACTTAATAGCCATAGGCATCCTATTTTTGCATCCCAAAGACACCAGAGGTGCAATGGTAACAAAGGCATTGCCATAAAAAAAAACCATCAAGCCTGCCATGCAACACCTTGCCAGGCACTACAAAAATCCATTTTCAGGTGTGAATTCTTAGAAGACCCATTTGAAAAGAAATGGGACTTATTTCAAATACAATCTTGGAGTAACACTATTATACCTCTTTATGCCCTTGTACAATAGATTTGTCAATGGTAAGACAAATAAAATGGTTCAGCTAAAGTATTCAAATGCCTAATTAGAGCTACAACTTTTCAAAATCAGAAGGAAGCCTCTAATAAGGTACACAGATGGAATGTGTCTATGCATTGTACAATTCTACTTACACAAACATATGGACAAAGATAAAACCCTTATTAATTTGAGAGTCTACTTTGGTTTTGCACACTCCACCACCCCCTTTCTACATTGGGCAGTTCCAAAGTTACAGACTTAACACCAGACTCAAAAACAAATCATGTATGCTGTTATATCTTAAAGATGGTTGGGTCCATAAATCCTACTCCAACAGTGCCTTAGAGCAGAGATACCTGTACCTATTCCCATAATTTTTCTCATTCCTCCCATGGATGAAAAAAAGGCCATATACAGGGTTGTGCAAAAGTTCCCGTACACTTCGATTAGCGCTTTGATTCTCTTTAGGCGTCATAACTCCAGAGGAAAAAATTCAAATTAAGACTGAAATTTACTATAATGAAAACATTTCACATAAAAAATGTCCGTATAATTAAACAAAAAAAAACACATCCGAATCGCCAAAAATCCGTTGATTAGTGAAAAATTATATTTTCAAAGTGTACGAGAACTTTTGCACGACCCTGTATTTTGTGACAAATGAGGATGGCATTTAGAGAACCAACTGGATGTCCTGGGTTCGGTGGTGTAGTAGTAGCATATCTGGCTAGCAATCAGGAGGTCCGGGTTCAATTCCCGGTCAGTCATTGGCTTTATTTTTTTGCCTTCCATGTCCCGTTTCTCATTCCCCTCCATAACATTATTTTTGCTTGAGTAAAATGGAGAGACATGGAAAGCTGAAACCTGGCATGGACGTGCCTACCGAGACGATGAGTTCAGGAAAAATGCAACATTTTAAATCCATGCCCTGGGGGTATTATTTTGTGAGCCGACGTTTTCAAGTATTTTTTTTTTTTGTCCTGGCGTATTGAGTTAGTGCGGAAAGATGAAACTTGGTACATAACTATTGGGATGCTGTAGAAAACTTCAAACTTTGGAAGTAAATGCCATGGGGGCACAAATTTCAAAGGGAGGTGTTTTTAACTAATTCTTTTGCATAAGTTAAATTGATGAACATGGAAAGCTGAAACTTTCCATGAATGTGACTACTGAGACAAAGAGTTAAATAAAAATGTTAAGTCTCGATACATCCCCTAGGGGAATTTTTTCGAGGGGCGATGCTTTGAAAAAAAAAAAATTGTCGTGGCGAATTGGACAGTAATGGAAAGGTGAAACTTGGCACACGTATAAGTGACATGATATTACTGAGCTGAAGGAGAATTCAGCTTTCATGGTGCATGCCCTCCTGGCATAGCGTTAGGGTGGGTCGGCTTTTCCAAATATGTTTTTTTACCAGCGAAAAGGGCAAACGGCAAAGGGCAAATATTTTGGAAAAGGAGTATTTTCCCAAATTTTCTGATCCGGCAAAACAGAGGGCGCATGAAAGTTAAAAAAATTGGCAAATAAGTACCTGATGGATAGCTGCGTAAAGAAAAAAATTCTACTTTTCTAATATACATATATATAGACGATATACATACAGTATATACTGTATATAGACGATCGTGACTGACTGACTGACTGACGCTAATTCAAAAAGGGGAAACGTTTAAGGCTGAAACTGGGTAGCATGGAGTTCCCTGAGTCTCCATTTCAGAAGAAAAATTTTTTTTCGCTAAAACCCATCAGGTTTTTTTTTTAAGTCCCATTTTCCTGAAATTTTTTTTTTATATAACGAAACAGAGACAGAAAATTTAAATTTCCCTCAGAAGTACCTATTTAATGGCTGAGTACAGGAAAAATCCTACTTTTGAAAGGTGTCTCCTTAGCGAAGATTATTAGAGGGAAGTATTTCAAAATGTTTTCTCCACCCATACTAAAAGGAACACAAGAAAAGATTTAAAGGAAGGCACACAGAATCATAGAAGTAATGATTTTGATAAAAATGAAGACTTTCGACCCCATATGTCACGTATTTCAATGGGGACGTACTTTTTTAATAAGTGTTTCCCATTTCGCAAAAAATCAATGAATTAATCACTACCCCAGGTAAAGGAGCGCCGAAGCTGCGACCATAGCGAGTTTGCTTGCCCTTTCGGCAAAGAAACTCGCTAGTACAGTATCTGCGTGTTGGAAATGAAAATGAGGAGTTCTTTCAAGTTCTATCTAATATTTATTCCTGGTATGCTAGGTTGCCTGCAGAAACAGGTTGGAATAGCTATTGACGCTCTAGGCCGGTCGAACACTTGACGACACTAGTCGAACAGAGTAAAAAATATTGCCTAAACATTCGTTTTTTTATCGCCTTCTTCTGCTGTACCTCCCCAATCTGCCCGGCGTTTTACAATAGTTTCAGGATGCCGCTCCCGAACCAAGCCTGACAAAGCGAATGGCTCGACAATAGGAGGTTACCCTAC